TGCAGGTTGGAGGTTCTCGCGGGAGTTGGAAGTATTTCGATAATTCAGAAAAAAAAGTACTCAGAAAAACAGGAAAAGAATTACTCAGAAAAACAGGTACAACAGAAAAAATTATAAAAAAAACAAATCAAAAAATAAGTGGATGAAATAAGCTTCCGTACATTACACTATATGGGAATTTAGTTAAGCTAGATTGATTTGCAAGGTCTGCAGTGCATTACCAAGCAACAATAATCTTAGTAATCAAAGTAATCTTTGACAAAAAAAAGCTAAAATTATGTTCACTGTCATACCGAAACTGTTTCTGCAAGCAGATTTTCACACTGTACAGCAATTCATTGAGAAATCCCTAAAAACTGGTGAGATACGATGTTAAACATTTTGAATATTAAAAGACAATGTTTTTTCTTATATAAAAAAATGCACTTATTTATAACTTACTTCTATCATGTCTGTGCGGTAAGTATGAAGCCAGAAGGTTATAGCATAAAAACTGGAAACAGGAGGAACAGCTATCCTGGCTCTGTTTCAAGCAAATAAGCCTTTTCCCCAAAACTATTTCTTTAAGTAAACAGAGAAAAAAAAATGAATGTGGTCCTCAGGGTTTCTCATTATCAAGAGACAAATCTGTGTACTTCATGTGCTGCCAGTATTTAACCAGTGAGTCGCGTGTTTGTGCTTCAGTGACTAAAAGAGATAAAACTGGTAAAAACAGCTGTTTTGTGTGGAGTTTTCAACACTTTCCAAATCTGAAAAGGTTTTTGTAATATGTGCCAAGCATTAACAAATGTAGAGCCTTGGGAGTGCTTGTTTTTACTGTATGGTTCTCCACCCCGGCTTCACCAAACTGTGGACGGGCAGTAAAGTGAGAGCCAGATGGCCACAGCTGGATGGAATAATTGGGGGAAGGAGTGTTGGTTGTCTGAAGAGATAAAGAGGTGGAAAGAAAGTTGAGAGGGTTTAGAGGAGAGGTAGAAAGTTTCAGGGTATGGTGGCGGGTTTATGTACTAGAAGGGTGGAGGACAAGATGAGCAGCAAAGGGACCATGACCGTCCGTCTGTCTGTCACACCCATGTCTGGGTGGTTCCTCCTGCTGTTTGCCTCCAGCTCCCTGCCTGGAGTTCTAAAAGTAATAGGATTTGTGAATTTGTAGATTTTCAGTTAAAATATGAACAGAAGAATGCACCGTGCAGTCAAAAGCCTGAAAACATGACATAGAAAACATACAGTTATGCAGAAGTTCATACTCCAAACAGTTATGCAGTGAATAGAAAACAGTTGAGCAACATAATTTGAGCTTGTCAGCAGTCTGACTACTTCTCGTCATCGCTCAAGTCTGAATCAGTCTGAATTTTCTGCACAGGATGTGAAGAGCATCTGCTGGTCTACTGACGACAAATGCCAGAGGTCGCCGGGAGCACGGCCCGTGTAGAGACGAACACTTTGACGAAGCACTTCCCAAGATTCCACAACACGGTGCTACAATAGCGTTACCGTGGAAACCAGATTGGGTGGGGTCGTTTGGAGAGTGACAGCAAAGGGTTTGACGTGACAAGTGAAGGGTACTGATGGTGGTGCTTCATCGACTGAATTATATGTTGAGTCACACAAGACACTCACACACCCTTGAGATGAGGTAACCTCAGTGTCAGTCCTGAGGAGGAGCAGAGGGACCAGACAAAGAGTTATGTAATCAGGATACAAAAATGGCAACTGTAAGCCATTACAGTGACAAACAAAAAGGACGGAAAATAGAGTGAAATCATAGCTAATATTACAGTTTCAATTCATTATCATGGCCTCTATTGAAAAAATGTTTTTGCCTGCCTCCCAGCAGTGAAAATGTTCAGTAGGCTACTGCATGAATTTGCTTAATAACAAGCAAATTTTAATTTGAAAATACACTGAGCAGAGGAGAGACTTTTAATGTGAAAAATCTTTGTTTCTCCATTTTCTTTTCTA